CAGGATCGTTATATGCAATTTGAACAGTTGGAGGGATCAAGTCCCAATTCCCAAGATTTTTCTGGACTAGAGACACTAATAAATTGTCAGGATTTTGGTTAGCACTTTTGTTTTGACCATCAATTTGAGGTTGGTCAGTGGTGGATAATTTTACCTTAGTATTAACCACAGGCGATTGGATTTTCCGAGGGTGACTGGTGACATCATCAAGCTCTTTAACTTGGGTAAGGGTACAACATATAACATGTGATCGAGAATTGTCGGAGATAAGGGGTATAGTATCCAAAGTCTCGAGAAGAGTCTGGATTCCACCTAAGAAAATGTCCTCACTATCATCCAAGTCATTAAAATCTTCAAGTTTAGGTTCATAGACTAGATCTTCTAACGGCTCCTCTATTACATTCTTTCGTTCTTCCATAGCTAAGGTTCGATTAGGACATTTAGAAGAAATGTGACCAAAGTCTTTACAGTTGACGCACAACAAGTGAGAAGAAGACCTTGGAGTTTCAGAAATTCTACCCTGATTTTTCAAAATTGGAGAACCATTAGAAGGGGGAGGTCCTAGAAGGGACTTAACGGGAGGAGGTGGAGCCAATGAAGCCAAATGATGATTATCAAAATTTTTACCCTTATTTTTCAAAATTGGAGGAATATCAGACGGGGGAGGTCCTAGAAGGGACTTAACAGGAGGAATTGGAACCAGTGACACCGAAGAATGATTGTCCATATGCTTTCTACATGGAAAAGAAGATCTTGGATTATCACGACCTTTACAATTATTTTTCCAAATAGGAGGAACATTAGACGGAGACGGTTTTATGATAGACTTATGATGAGGCGACGCTAATGAGATGGGTGAGCGACGATGACCACGCTTTTCATAAGGAGTATTAATAATCAACTCATAATCTCGAGTTAAAGAGTAAGCGTGATCAAGAGTAGTGACACCTCGAAGGAAAAGCTCGCGCTTAAGATCATCTCTCAGACCTTGACTAAATCTACTCAAAGTCGTGCTCTCATCCTCAATTAAATGATATTTGGTTCGAAATTCCTCAAATTGCGCGATATACTCAGTCACTAATTGATTTCCTTGTTTAAGGGCATTCCATTGAGTAAGAATTTCAAAATTATCTCGTTCTCGCTCACGAATCTGATCCCTATTCTTATCTCTATCCTTACGATCGGGTCGAAAGTATTTTTGATTACCTTGTCGACAATGTTGTCTATTATGGGACACCTTAGAATTATCAACATCAATCGAATGAGGGATGTGTTTAAAATTTTTCAAACTAGCAGATAGGACCTTACTCTCTTCAAGAGTAGCGGTCATTTGAGTTTGAATAGCCGCTATTTGTCGGGTGAGTGCATCGAATTGTGAGGGGTTCATGTTTAAGGTACTAGAGTTAGAAGTGACAAGATGACCAATATGTAACTACATGCACTGTAATAGCAATTTAATGACATGCAATAGAGAGATCAATGAACAAAAAGTGCAAGTAATGGAAAATGAAAATTTGATCTAATTTTTATTTTTAATTTAAATTTTGGGACTAAAATTATATACAACAAGCTAGCACTGCTGATATATGTAAAATACTAAAGCAATAGTCAAATACTAGTCAAAATCTAATCACGTAAAATAAGCAGGTTAAAGTGAGATTTAACGAGGTCAATGGATCCAATTACGTGAGTTTAGATAAAAATAGATCAGTAGCAGCACAAAAATTTAATTGATGTAATTTCAAAATGAAACAGTAATGTAAACCAACAATAAATAAAAGCAAGAACTTTCCTTTCGTTTGTCGAAGTAGTCAAGCTAGATCAACCAGAATAAAAGATGTACCTGTAAATAATAGAAAAGACGTTTCTTCTCTTTTTCTTTTTTTTCCTTTTTTTTTAACTTTTTTTTTCCTTTTTCTTTTTTTCTTTTTTTTTTCACTTGTTTTTTTTTTCCTTTTTCTTTTTTTCTTTTTTTTTTTTCAATTTTTTTTTGGGAACTGTAGTAAATGATAAACAAAAAATAAAAAATAAAAAAATTCGGGTGTGAACAGTAAATTTGATTTTTTTTTTCAGCTAAGACTGAAAATTGAAGAAGAAGAAAAAAACTGCTGCCTGTACCAAATATTATTTTAGTTCGTGCTGTTCCAACAGATTTTGGGAAGGAAATATGAATAAATTTTGGATTAAAGAAAAGAAATTACCCATGGTTCGGCTCTGATACCAAATTTGATGTAGGATGAATAAGAAAGAAAGAAGAAGGAACGGGAAAGAGAAACAGAGAGAAGGGAGAAGAGGAGAAGAAACCAAGGGAAGAGAGGGGAGGGAGAAAACGGCTGCAAGCCACCAAAAATATTTCAATTCTAATTCATCATCAACTGTCTCAAATTAGAAACAAAACAGAAATAAATAGCAGAAAATAAACCCTAAAGAGAAGAGCTTAGGCCAAACCCACTAAACAAGTCCAAATTTAAATAATAGTCCAAGAAAATAAATAAAACTTAAATAAAATAAGTAAACGTCGTCCGATGTCCTCATCACTTACGCCTTGAATCCTGCCTAACGTGAGGCTATCATACCCCTCAAAGTCAGCACCTTTAAGGCCCTTTGCGGGGCTTACGCCTAAAAACTGAGGTTTAGACCTCGAGCCAACTAAGGTGTTCACCCGTTTGCCTTGAGTTTTTCAAACATATAATTATTGGCCTTCTCCTTTTGAGTTATTTTGTTTATAACCTAAAATGTTTTATGAGCTCTTTTTTATTTTCAAATTTTTACCTTCAATGAAGAAACATGGAGGGAGAAATCACCATTGCAATTGGAGGGGGATGGAAAAGAAACTTATAATGAGGATGATGATAATATAAGAAATTTCTAAGTAGTAATAATTTTTTAGTTGCTTACAAAACTATAAACTTATTATTTTCTTTTTTCTTGATCTTTTTATGTTTGTTTGCAAGTTAGACTTCAAATCTTGTTAATTATGGATTTTGAAAGGGTTCATGATATATTACGAGCATATTTTTGTATCTTTATATTCTTTTGGATTTTTTTATTGTTCTATCTCGAGGTTTCCTTGAGTCTTATGCCTTGCCTTATGGAAATAAAGCCTTTTAAGACACGGTTTCCTGGTATTGCATCGAATGGATGGTGATGAAATTCTTGGAAATTTTGGATGTAAAAATTTGGAAGCTTCTCTAGAAGCCTATCCTTCCACTGTTAAATACATTTTGTCGTTACACCTTACGCTAGTGCTACCAACAGTCTGATCACAATGAATCTGCATAGACACCAAATCACCAAAAGTACACTCTTTAAGACCTGAGCTTACAAATAGCCTTGATACTCAATTATCTCAGGCCATTCTAAATAATGACAATAGAATGAGAAGTTACAGAAATAACAAATAAGAACTGGCATGGTTGCATATTGATTGAAAATGTTAGCCCCTCCAGAATAGAAAATCCAAGAAATATCGATATAGAACTACCAAGTAACGGGTGAATAAGAAGTGTGCAAACATATAGATGATCGGAATGCTTATGGTCAGCATATCAACTATGATTGCAGCCGAATCAGAGTATGTTTGGCCAAGCTTAATTACAATTTAAGCCGGTCAAAAACGCGAATCTGAGGTCCACTGATGTCTAAAATTTACCATATACTTGCAGCCAAATCAGTGCATGTTTGACAAAGCTTAAGTTGTAATTTAAGGTGATCAAACATATTTTTAAAACTAGTACCCAATTATCATCCACAGGTTCCATATCCACAACTAATAATCACTTAAAAGTACTCCCAAATGTGCTCTTAATACGGTGAACATATGCATAAATGAGAACACTCGTATATTTGTTAGAATTAAGACAAACATAGAAGGTAAGTTTTTCCTTTCTTTTATTTTTTTATTTATTATTTTTAAATATCTCCAGTAAGATTAAAAGAGAGAGGGAACTTTCTTTATTAAGTGTTAACCTTGTCGTTTAAAATAAGCTAGATTCAATGTTTCACGGTTATGAACTCTATCAATAATTTTTGAGCGACTTTCAGGCATTCATGGTCACTGTATGAAACAAAAAACGTGTTGGCTACACCTACGAGCTGACACTAAAAGTGAAAGGTAACTCTTTTTTTGTTTCTATTTTCCATATTTCTGTTTTGCTTCAGAGCTACTTCATGATAAAATGACGGACATCAAGGGAATGGCTTGTTGGAGAGCAGAAGAAGAAGGTCAAAGGCCACATAGATGTATTTGAATTCTCCTTGGGCGAACTGGATGATTTGCAGGTATGTTGCATATAAAAAGCTAGAATCCTGTCAAAGTAAAACTAAATGGGAAACACCAAAGTTAAGATTGGCTTTGAGGGGCACAAAGAATTGCAATTATCATGAAGTTTTATTAATTAAACGGAAATCTTTAATAGTGCATGTGACATTTTGCCTAACTGATATTATAACAGACTCGACTTAGGGCTTGTTTGGGTGTGCTTAAAGTAAGACACTATCTTACAAAAAAAAAATTAATAATAAGCCCCCAATTTGTTAAGCCAACAAATTTGGGAACTTATTTATAAGCAAAATCAGTGTGACAATTCACCCAGATGCCCTTTATTGATATAATTTCCAAGATGGGTTAATAGTTTTTCAGAAATTTAAGGGATACATGGTAAATGTGTTCGTCAACTAAAAGAATAAGACCAGAAGTAGGATGTGAGGTATTTATTGCTTATCCTTCGTCTCAAAAAGAAGTGAATTTCTTGCTAAGCCAACATTTTTTTGTGTTTTTTGTGCTTATACGATAGTTGGCCATTGGCCACTTATAAGCTGGATTTAAACAAGCTCTTAAGCAAAGTCTCAAGAAATTTGATTTCGACACGATGTTGTCCACATTCTTTTGCTTTGCAGATCGAAGTAAAACTAAGTGAAGATAAAGATCTTTCAAACGAAGAGAAGCAGCAGATCCACAAGGAATTGAAATTGTTTTTGCAGCCTCTTCGGGAGAAATTACTTCAATTTGAGCAGGAACTCAGAGATCGGTAGTGATGAGCCTTATTATTTTATAGGTACTCGGGTTGTAGTTTCAACTAGCATTTCTATGTCAAAAGATTATAGCGGAACAAAAAATTAGATGCCAACGTCTTTCAAATTCTTGTGATGGACAATTAAGCTTGATAGTTACTGTGTTTCCATTGTTTATGGCAATGGGTGTAATGCTACTTTGCAATGTTCTACGTGGTAGTGTTGACTTATTTGATTTACCGGAGTTGTTTTTATTTTTACTTACTGTTGATTATAAATATACTTCCCTCGCGTGAAAAGTTGTCCTCGCTAGTTGGGCAAATGGTCATTGCTTTGCCTTTGAAGTGCATTTATCATATTAGCTCCCCCGAGTCACTAAAAAGAGGGTGAAAGACTCGCTACTTTGTTTATTTATGGCCTATTTTTTGATTGATCTCTCTTTCATACTCATTCGACCCGAGGCAAAAGAAAAGTCATACAAAGAAAGGTTCTTTCATGCATGAGTATGGGCGGGCCTCGTCTGATGGATTCCTCCCAACTCAATGAATGGAGGGAGGAATTTGAGAAATTTGAATTTATATAAAGATTCAAACTTTGCATAGTAGTAACCTCTGTACTTCATGACTTCATCCACGTGGACATTTCTGCTTTCATGTTTCATCAGTTTCTTGATATAAGGTCTGAATTTCATTCAAAATGAGGCCAAAGAATCCACTAATCTTTTTCTACTTGCAAGAATATGAGACATGAATATGTTTTTCTTTGCTGATCAAACATGACAATGGCTGGAAAACTCTACATAGCAGAATCATTACTATAGTTGGCTCACTCGAGGCAAAACGAAGATCCCTGTGAGTTGAATATGCATAAGCCAAGAGCTCAAGTAGAGTTAAGGACTTGTTTGGTAGGGATTTTGAGAAGTTAGATGCTTTCGATATTAAGAAGTTACTTTTGGATCTGTTCGGATAATTTTTTAAAAATATTGTCCAGTTAAAAGAGTTTTTAGAGGAGGTTGACTTAAAGTGCATTCTCTAGAAGTCCTACAAAAAGTAAAATTAAAGAGTTTTTCCGAACTAGCCTAGTCATCACTTGATGCAATCTTGCATCGTCAACTCGTAAAATCACTTCTGCCGTTAGGGTTTATGAATTTCAAGATGTAGTTGAGCTTGATCTTGAACTCATTCAATGAAAATATGACGATATAGGAAGATAATCAACACTAAAATTTCTTATCCGATTAACACTAGAATTCATTGATTCAATATGTGGATACCTAACTTTCGATCAAATACAGAGAATAACCTTCTCAATAATTTCGCTTTAGTTTTCATTCAAAAGATATAATAAAAGAGATCTAAGCCATTGTTTGGTAAGAATTAAAATCTAGATTTTAATAAATCAAAATCAACAATTAAGTTTAACCACATATTTCATGAGTTTCATAAATTTTCAATCACACATTTCATAAACTTTTATTAAAATTTACTAAAATCTAATTTTATTCTCCACCGAACAGAGACTAAGACAATCTTGATTATAATTGACACTTTTGTCCTTAAATTTTTAATACTATCCTAATAACTTCTCAAACCAACGCAATTGACCTAAGAAATTTTTTTATTATAATGGACTTTTAGTAAGGAAATCAACCTATACGCTCTAATAATAATAATAATAATAATAATAATAATAATAATAATAATAATAATAATAATAATAATAACAATAACAATATAAGATGCCAATGAGAAAACTTGAACTAAATTAGGAATATCCCAAGAAAAAATGGAGATCAATTTCAATTGCTTTCTTCACTAAAATTGGGCAATCTTTTTTTGTTTCGAAGAGAATTCACAAGCACCCAAAAGCCAACTTTGATCATTCAAGACTTTCTATTTTTTCATAAATTTAAATACGTTGAATTAACGTTTCTCTACATTTGAATATAGAAGTGGGATCGTGGAAAGTAAATTTCCACTCCAAAAAATATAAAATCCTCCCACCAAACTATATATTTTAGGATAATTTTACATGTATCTTATGGTATTTATAAAAGTGTCCATAATGTAAACGTGTAATTCCATGATTGAACGGTTGAAAAAACTGTTTTTCAACTCTCCAATAATGTTATGCCACTTATACATTATGTACACTGTTATGTGCATGTAGCATAACCTTATATTTTATATGTATCGAGACAAATCACATGAGCTACCTGCTAATTTCAAATTGAATATATGTTTGCATGCCTTGGATGCAACGCATTGTAGTGAATGTATCTAATTAATGCAAAGTATCATAAGATGACTGTTACGCCTCATTTTACGAGCCTCGATACCGAAGTGTCATCTCACCACCGAAGCCAAGATCAAATAGACCACTTCGACCTTCTTGAAACTTCTCCGAAGTGATACACCGATTCCTACTACTGATCTGCCGAAGTATCCCACCTCTGAGGTCAGGTTCAGGTGGACCCCGGTTAGAAGATCCGTCGCCAATTTAAGATTTGTTCTGCATATAAGGTTTAAATTGATTTGACGTCCCCGTGAGGCTATTTGATGTGACTTATCAACTTTATGTCAATTCAACTCGGGGGAAACAAACTGTCCGCCCACTCTACAAGCGCGGCTGATTGACGCCTATGAGCAGACGCTTCATACCGTCAGATGTATACACGTGTTCCACATCCCACGGTTCATACCACCTATAAATACCCAAAGTTTGGCAAGAGGCAAAGGTAATGAAACTCTCAATACATAGCATTCCATAACAAGTTTATATATTCTCCTCCCCCTTTATTGATTGATTTGTGTAGCCCCAGGGCACTGTTCCGACCACCCAAACCTGACTTGACCGTCGGAGTGTATACGACAGCCACCCCCGTCGGTTCCGGCCGTGTGCCCTGACTATTTGTTCATTTCGCAGGGAGGAATACGTGGAGTAGCTATAAGTTGGCCACGTGGAGGAGCCATTTTTGGAGGTCAACAGTTTGGCGCCGTCTGTGGGAACCTCATTCCCCATTTAAAGTTTTACATTCCCCATCGGAGAAGACGCCGGAAAACCGGCGACTGACCCTGAAAAGGGGTCATTCTTGAAAAAGAACAAAAGTCGAATTACCATCCAAGTTCTTACTATCCTTGAAAGAAGAGGTAGGATGAGCTATAGCCGTGAAGACAACCCCATCAGAGAGGCCTCTGAAGAAGAGGTACTCCATAACAATGTTACTCATCAGAGACCGCATCACCGGCGTCGACGAGGCGAAAGAACAGCCATACTCACTGAAGGAATGGCCCAGATAGCTGCGGGCATGAGAGACATAGCAGCTCAGAATATGGCGATGCGGGAACTTCTCATGCAAGCTCAGGGACACCAGATGCCCCAAGGATCGTATCCGGTACAGGAAATCCCTTTATCTCATTCTCGAGGCCACATGAGTCGGCACACAGAACGTCCTCTCGAAAGAGAGAGTAACACCGAAGCTACATCTTATGTGCAGGAGAGCCACCCATCAGAACCACTCTTGGGGGACAACTTTCCTCAAGAACACGATGACCAGAGGTCAGTAAGCGTCTTCGACCGGATAGGGAACGATCCTAGCAATAGGGTCCGCCCTTCAAGAGGGTCGGTCCGGTCAGACCACGAAGAAGAGTATGTTCCGCCCCCTCCTCCTAGAAATAGGAGGGAGAGGAGAAACTTAGTCGATTGGGGAAGCCGGGGGAAAGCACCTCCTCCACCCCAAGACATCCAAGATGATCAAGGATCAGAGGGGCCCTGCCGATCTTATGAGATTGACGACGATGACGATAACCTCCCTTTCTCAAGGGAAATTCGGAGCTTCCCAATGCCAACTAATTTCATGCCCCCTAAGATCCCCAAGTATGAGGAAAAAGGGGATCCGGAGAAGCACCTCACAAAGTATATGACGCAAATGAGTCTTAGGGGAGCCTCACCTGCTCTAAAGTGCAGAGCCTTCCATTTAACACTAGGCGGAGCCGCCAAGGTGTGGTATAGCAGGCTTCCTCCCCTAAGCATCAGAAGTTGGCCGGACTTGAAGAAATCATTCTTGAACCAGTACCTCTCACGCAGGGAAGGAGAGGCGCCAATCCAACGCCTGCAAGACATGAGGCAGGCCCCTGGAGAGACGCTGAAAAGCTATCTCGCCAGGTTTACAGACGAGATTACTTACTGCGAATAGGTCACTGACAGGGAAGCCCTTTCAGTCCTGAAAGGCGGTCTCAACATGAACACTTTGTTTTGGAGGGACGTACGCAGCAAGAATCCCTCCACATATGACGAGCTGGTGGAGATGATGAGAGTGGAAATAATTAGTGAAGAAATGATTGATCATCGTAACCGTGCCGCGCAGGGACTCCCTCCCCCACAGAGGCAGGTAGGTCGAGGCCCTGCAGCGCACCTTGTTACTCAGCAATGGACCCAAGCAGGGCATACCATAGCTCCCACATCCGGACAGGCCCTAGCTTCCGCCACATTGAACGCAGTGTCGGTGTTGGCATATGATAACGCACCCACTGAGGCAGGACTATCTGGAAGAACTGACAACAACAACATGAAGAAAAAGAGGCCAAACAGGCCCTTGCCAGGAGCAAGATTTTGTACTTTTCATCAACTCTACGGGCATGACACCAGCGAGTGTCGGGATGCCAACCGGCGCCCTGATCGAAACAACCCCCACACTTTCAGCAGAAATGAGCACCCCCGCAGATCCACCTCCCCGAGGAGGGGAGGAAGGGGTCACCATGAATAATCTCCTCGCAGAAGAGAATCAAGAAATCGAGGCCAATCCAGGCAAGAGAACCAAACTCAATTCACTGGAAGCCAGGTCATCAGGGAAATCGATACCATCATTGGGGGACCCCACGTCGGTGGCAACACCAGGAATGCCCAGAGAAATTATACAAGAGAAGCTAAGGATCCCCCGATGATCGCCTACATTGTCGACGAATCAAAATCAGCAAACAAGATGGCCCCAATCACCTTCTCACAGGAAGACTCAGAGGGAGTTCACCATCCCCATTGCGACGCTTTGGTTGTAAGGGCCGTAGTGGCTAGAAACGGATTAAAGCGCATGCTCGTTGACAACGGCAGTTCCGTGAACATATTGTTCGGCTCCACTTTTGACAAAATACAAATTGAACATGGGTTAATCCCCATGACCGACCCACTGTTCGGATTCACTGGGGACAGCATCATCCCACGAGGGCGGATTACCCTGCCTGTGGAAATGGGTTCGGCC